ATCTCATAATCATAAAAAATATATAGCTATTGAAGATATGCTTTATGGTGATAATGAAAAAAATCTTAATTTTGATTTGGCGGAACAAGAACTTTTAAAATCTGTGTCAGAATTTGAAAACTTATTGAAAATAACAGATGAAGATAATATAGTACCACCATCTTTGAATAGAACTTCTGTAATTAGTATGATTAGCGGGATTAATTCCAAAAGCAGTGCTGATTCAACTTATAGYGGAAGGTAAGGCGAGTAATCAATGGTGTTTCAAATTGTCATCGGGTACTTGCACGGTTTGAATGGGTTTCATTGGGAATCCAACCTTTACTGATTGTAGCCAAAATCAGCCTAACACGGGTAGGTAGTTAACACATTAAAAATATTAACATATTATCTTATGATTATAGCACATTATCACAACAAATTTATTATGTTTTGCTTATTTGGTCTAGATATGAACACTGAGTAAGAATACAATATTGGCTAATCAATTTTTTCGTTTAAGTACAAAATGTTACTTAGCTAAACAAAAATAAACAAAATGGTCATTTTTTTACCCAGCATATTATGTAATTACAAAGAATAATTTTTTTTTCATTTTAATAAAGTGTATTATATTTTTAGTATCTGTAACTAAAAGCAAGTATTATGTTTACTAGATTGTGTGTTTGTTTTAATTAATAATTAAAATATAATAGTCCATTCAAAATGACACCTARTAACTCATATTATAAATTATCAAATCAAATAACTCATTAATCATTAAACACGGCCTATATAGTAATAGTTTATAAAATATCACCTAGCTAATGATTTTTAATAATTTATAATGAATAATAATCAATTTATTTTATAATAAAGTTATCATTTTTATTATTTGTTTTGTTTATATTAGTGAAGATTTTTGCATATTGTTAATAATTATATAATATTTTTTTTTTTATGTTAACTGTACATCACTTGATATTATTGTAAATACTGCAATTTTATTTACAGATTTTTCAGTTACAAAAAAAAATAAAAAAAATACATTAATAATTAATAATTATACAATTTTATGTTTTATAAATTAAGTTATAGATAGTATTATAAGATAATATTATTATTTATTATTTTTATTTTGTTTTCAGCTTGAATAGAAAAACTGAGCATGCAACAACTGGAAATTGTCTTACACTTCTGAAAGCTGCTAAATTTTGTCATGAATGTGGATTCAAATATCCAATTGTTGATATTAAATTTTGTACAGAGTGTGGCATGCGGCGCATAGTAACATAATTGAATTGCTTTAATTTCAATATTTATGTTTTATTAAGGATATTAAGAAAACAGAGTTTACAATGTGTTAAATTTTTAGAGTGTAGAGTATATTTTTATATTTTTATGCTTGTATAATTATAAATTATAATCAATATATTAACAACAATTTGTAATAACAATTTTGATATAAAATTGCATTATTTTWACCCCCGAGACTGATTCTTTAAATTTAAATTAGTTTGAGTGTAAATTGTTACATTATTTATTATATAATTTTACTGATTTGATAAGACCAAAGTATTAACAATAATATTATAATTTTTACACAACAATATTGCTAAGGTATTAAAAATATTAATTTTTATTTGTTTATATTACTTTAATTTGTTAGTATTCTTAGTTCTCAATTTATAATGTGTAAAAATTAAACCTACTATCAGTGATCAGAACTTTCACTGAAAAAATTAATTAATTCACGTTCARTCCTTAAAAAAGGAACTAGTTCATGTTCACTAACTAATGAAGTTGAAAGTGGTCTGCTGAGTGTAAATTTGTTGTGTTACACACTTGTAAGACTGTGGTAATAAATGCCAGTGTTATGTCTACTTAAGTATAATTAGGTATTGTATAATAATATTTATTCAACTGAATAGCCAATATATTTAATACCTTTCCATTATAAAGAAGGTATTGAAACTTTATATAGATCAGGGGCGGACTGGCCCGGTCGGCTATTGCCGACTGGCCTCTTACCCGTATAATGTTTGGCCCCTATGATTTCATCTCTATTTTTCCAGTAAAGTTATAATATAGTCAATAGCATTCACATACTATTTATTATTAGAATATTATGAGTTTATTAATGGTTTTCTCTAAACCCAAGCATATTATACAGCATATTGTTATTGTGATTACTTTTGATTTTTGTTATCTATAACACAACAATTATTTTACAAACGATGGTTTTGTTGGTACAGTGTAGCTAATTTTAGAACAGATAAAACCATTGAGTATAGATAGTATATATAGTATCTATACTCAATGATAAAACGGATTACAATATTTTACAGTCGATAATACACAGGGAAAGTATAACTGATAAGTGACTAAAATTTTTTTAGAAAAATATATATTAATTTTGACTAATTTCACCTTTTGTATTTTAAGTTATTTTTTCCCTTTAAATTAAAATATATTAGGAGTTAAAAATCTACTCTAACCCTCTAACCCACTTACTACTGTACTATACGGCATACGCTCTGTTCCATTTCATAACAAGTTTCTGAGTACGAGGATTATTGTGGACTCAAGTAACAAAATTTCCGACTGGCCTCATACATAGCCCCTGATATAGATTATATATTTATAGTATGCTAGACAATTAATTATTTTTGATTGTAAATTAGTATTACATCCTAAATACTTTAACCAACTCGATTGTTATTAAAGGTTTTAATAACTTCATACTTCAATAATGTTTTAATTATTATTCACTTACATGTACACAAATTAATACAATAGCATTAATAATATGATAACACTTTTTTGATTCCCTCTTCTAAAAATTTTTTTTATTTATTTTCAATAGTTGTTATTTTAAATTTTTTAAAATTATTTATCATGTAATTTTTGTTTTAGAAAGGTACACTTTCATTTTTCCACTCTCTTTAATTATTAACACATTTTATTTATTTAATTATTTCATTGTTAATATTTTTCACACAGATTACATTTTAATTTRWGATTRATTGTATGAAAGTGAGTTCACAAGACAATAATATCAATTGTAATTTCATCTTAGTATACCTAGTTTTTACTAATAAATGTTGACAAGAAAGATAGCAAATTAATAGTAATAGAAAACTAAAATATGGTTTACATTGTGTGAGTAAGTGATTTGGAATTTGATGACTAACTAATATTTTTTGATTGTCATCATTCTATATAGATATCAWATTTAAATGTTTTTTAGATTTGGTGTAACTCTAAAACAAATTCCATATGAAATTTCCTGTTAAATAACCAAAAATAACGATTTTAGCTATATTATTGTGATTTAGAAATATTATTCATGGGTATAACTCAAATTGTATATAGGTAGTATACATTATCTACTATGAATGACTTAGTGAGTCATATGTGTATAATGAATCTGATTGGATTAATTTGGAATTCATTTTATAGGTGCCTAAATTTTTTAAAATCTAATTAATATAGTTTTAAACTATAAAATATCCTAGACAAACAAACTGTCTCTGCTCAGAATCGTTTTTCATATACAATGATATTATATTTTACATAATTGAATTTAAATTTAATTGYAGATAGGTCCATYACATTAACCCACTTGTAACCTACTGTATAGCAGAGTGACATCCACTTACCATTTTTATAAGTGAATTTAACCATATTAAAATCATYAATTTATTTTAAATTAATAACTTGTATTTGAATTAAATATTTAAATGTTACCTATGTATATCATCGATTATAAATGTATGGTATATTATTATAGACATGCCTACTTTGATATTAGTTATGAATTCATGAATGATGCGTAACTAGGTATATATAGTTGTCCATGGTTTAGGCATGGGCACTTTTTGGATAATTATTAGGTGGTTAGGAGACCATCCAACGACAAAAAGTCAGATACCTACGAATTTTGTGGAGGCTTGATTTTATATCTAAGTCCATTTTCCATCTTGTGTTACAGATAATTAATCTTAAACTAGCGAATAATATAACGATTTTCAACAAAATAAAGTTAAATTAGTTAAATTTTTTTTTTTAAATAAGTATATTTTTTCGTTTATAAACTATTAAAATATAATAATGCAGGTAATAACAACTGGGCACCGACCCATCGAGCTGATTTTAAAGGCAGACAGAGTTATATGACCTGCCCACCCGTACAATCAAATCAATGTTAGGTTGTCTAATATATCTCCCCTTTTTTATTTTGAAATCTTTCAACTGACAACTGGTTAAAAATTTAAAAACTTTTTTGAAAACCCTAATTTTTTCAATTCTATGAAATGTAAGTTATTAATATAATAAAATAATATGCAGAATATTTATTATATATTTAAATAAAACTGTTATAAATAAATTCATATTTTTTTATATAAACGTGCCTACCTATATTTAACCATTCTTTAAGACAATTTGGAATTGAAAATATTTCGATTTATGGACAGTCGTGACGTAGGAYAAATAATAATCTTGAAAACTTACAAAGTAGGTATTCTGATATACAAAAATTTAAAAAACATCGTAAATCTGGAMATTTTTAAGTATGAGTACCATTTTTTTTTCAATTAATAAAATCTTTATTCTAAATAATTAAATACCGGATCTTGCATAAAATGCATGTTATTATTTATTACATCACATACATGCAGACAATGAGTGTCTACAAAWMATTACTCGATTGATTAAATATTTAAATATTAAAATTTTATGCTGCGTGCTATTTCATATTCTGACGTTAGTGCATTTTTTGCATATGTTTGCATATTTTAACAAAATTCCGTATAAATATATACATAACGATCCAAAAAGGTGTTAAACAAAATAAAAAACAGATTGTATGTACCTACGACGTTTATATAATGTCAAATATTTTATGTCTCAAAGAAAATTCGGACGCTAAAAACAGCTTGCTAAACTTCCATAGGTTGGTTGTAGAAGTTTTATTGTCGAGACGTGGGTACGTGGGTTTAACTATTTTATCTAATCTTGTTGATAAAATGCCCGAAACAACATATATAGCTACGTTATTAAAACAWCTGATAAATGTATACAAGACAATTATTGTTAGTAAGAAATTACGTTGTAGCCAAGTGAGTGTTGAATGTGCGTGTTTTTTCGCCAAAAATTATTTTGTAATTCACCAATTAATTTTTAAACAGTTAAAATGCCCAAAATTAAWAATTAAAAACTGGCATCAATTAAAAAATGGACTGAGCCATACAATATTTCTGGTGAGGTTTTCAAAATTTTAAATAATACAACAGTTTTCTGTCAGCATTGTCAAAAACCGGTWACAGCAGAAAGAAAATTTCTAATTGATCAACATGCAAAATCATTTTTGCATGAAAAATGTTTGAAAAAATCTTCTTCTAAACAAACTTTTGTTCATGAAGCATCAATATCCATAGAAAACCAATCACAATTTTTCAAAGAACTTTGTAATGCATTAATTTTTTCAAACATACCTTTACATAAAATACAAAATAAAAGCTTTAAGTCTTTTTTTGAAAAGTATACAAATAAAYATATTCCAGATKAAAGTACGTTAAGAAAAAACTATTTAAATCAATGTTGTATAGACGTTTTACAAAATATTCGAGAATACATAGGCAGTTCGTACATTTTTTTCTCTGTTGACGAAACTACTGATCCTCGAGGAAAATATGTAGCAAATTTTATTGTTGGTAAATTGAATGCCGAATCTCCTTCTAAATCGTACCTTTTAGCATCGAAAGTTCTGGAAAAAACCAACAATTCAACCATATCACAATTTATAAACAATKCACTTAAACTATTGTGGCCTGAAGGTAACAATGATGATAAAGTTTTGTTGATGTTATCTGATGCTGCTCCTTATTATATGACGAAAGCTGCACACAATTTAAAACCATTTTATTCGAATCTTGTACATGTAACTTGTGTCATTCATGGTATTCACCAAATTACTGAAAAAATTATGGATACTTTTCGTGATATTAATGATTTAATTAATAATGGAAAAAAGGTTTTCTCAAAGGCTCCGTRTTATAGAATTCAGTTATATAAAGAAATGTTGCCAAATACACCTTTACCATCACAGTCAATAATTACCCGTTGGGGTACTAGGTTAGAGTCAGCCTTCTTTTACGCAGATCATTTTGAAGAATTCAAAAATGTAATTGAGAACTTAGAAGATGACGCAAAACACATTAAAAATTTTAAATTWAATATAAAATATGATCTTGCTTACATTAGAGCAAATTTTTTATATATCGTTGAAAGTATCAAAAAGCTTGAAACCTCTAATTTGTCCCTTGTACTCCTTGTAGACTCGTTAAAATTTTTAGAACAAGTGGAAAACTATGTAAATGAACTTTCTACTAGTGCAAATAG